ATATATATATATATAATATATATATATAGGTGCCTAATCATATGAGAACTAATTAGTTTGTGATAACTGTGAGATTCAATCTCAACCACAAATCAATAGATAAATTAAAAAATTTATAATTTTGGTAATTTTGAATTAAAATTTTAATACAAAGATATTTTTGGTATTTTAAAACTCTCATCTCTCCGGCCACTGTCCTCCGGTGATACCACAATGGTATCATAATGCATCATATATGTGCTTGGGTATCACATCGTATGAGAATGATAAAAATCCTATGAATAGATTTGAACCCTTGATCACTTTTAATCTATTTGTTTATTAATTAGATTCATTTTAATGTTCAACTTTCACATCTTGTATATTCTTTTTACTTGCTTATCTTTTGAAATATAAATTCGTTTTTTCTTAACATGTTATTATTTTGTTATCAAATAATAAATCACAGATTTTTTTTATAATACAAAAGAAGAGCTTTGTGACCATCAATTTAGTGATACATCAAATTTTCTGATTTTAGCACAAAACACTCGGATTACATGATAATTGTAGATTATTGCAATCAGGGTGATTTCCGACTTTAAAAGCCAATCCTTTTTTCGTGATTAGTTTATAATAGATCTTCCTATCTTGCTTACTTAAAACAAACATGAACGAAATTTGTTTCAGGCTCGAAAATAAGGTAGCAATTGTTACTGGTGGAGCTCAAGGCATTGGAGAATGTATTGTGAGGTCATTCGTAAAACATGGAGCAAAAGTAGTTATTGTTGATATCAAAGACGACTTGGGAGAATTAATTTGCAAAGACTTGGGTGCTGAGTTCGTATCTTTCATTCACTGTGACGTAAGCGTTGAATCAGATGTAGAGAACGCCATCAACACCACCATCGGTAGGCATGGGAAACTCGACATCATGGTTAACAATGCAGGGATTGGCGATGCGCCAAAACTTAGCATTTTAGATAATGATAAGGCAGACTTCGAGCGTGTTATTAGTGTCAATCTAATTGGAGCGTTTTTGGGAACCAAACATGCAGCACGGGTGATGATTCCAAAATGCAGTGGGAGCATCATCACAACTGCAAGTGTATGTTCTATTACAGGTGGGGTTGCTTCTCATGCATACACAAGCTCAAAGCATGGTGTGGTTGGACTAGCAAAGAACGTTGCTGCTGAACTAGGGAAGTATCAAATCCGCGTTAATTGCATATCTCCCCATTTTATACCAACTCTGTTGGCAATGAAGTTCTTCGACATGGATGAAAACTCGACTGTGTACTCAAACCTTAAAGGCAAGACACTTGGACCACAAGATGTTGCAAATGCAGCTGTTTTTCTAGCAAGTGATGAGTCTGAGTATATGAGTGGACATAACTTGGTCGTAGATGGAGGTTACTCTGTTCTTAATCCTTCATTTGGCTTGTTTTCATTGGACAAGATAGAATCCTAGGTCAACACATCATTCTTGTGTTTCGTGTGCTTGCATTTTCTGATGTTGTTTTCTTAGTTGAATAATGTCATATTCTTGTACCAAATCCTCATAACGACCAAATAAGAACACTTGATAAAGTGTAAACATTATAATTTGGTACAACACATTTTTTGCTTAAAAACCAAGCCGATTAGTACGACTAGAAGCCATTGTTGGTGGTCAGACAGAGAAATAAAGGCCAGCGGCCGCCGTGTGACGGTGGTTCCATCACCGGTGAGTTTTTACCCTTTTTCCGCGTTTTAATCAACAAATGAAAATCATGCTTTTTTAATAATCCATTTGAATGAAAAAATATCGAGTTTTTATATTTAATGAGGGCTCATATATCTAAAATTTGTTCCAATGTTAGGGGCCGTTTATCCAAATACTTACCCGGTAAGCGCTTACTGATAGGAGTCAACACTATAATCTATTTTACCAGATAAGATTGTAGTATATTAAAATGGTATCGTATGCAACAATTTACCTGGTAAACGTTTACCCGGGTAAGAGTCTTCACCGTCACTTACCGGGTAAGACTCTCTATCCCTATCATCGCTCTTAACGGGTAAGATTTTCAGCCCTTGTCATGTGCATCAAGTGAGGAAAGTTACCCAATCCACACTTACCGGGTAAATATTTAGTAAACGACCCTTATTCTCTTTCAATGAAAATATGCTTAACATTCGGTTCTTGTCCAAATAATTAATAATGACCATTATTTTAGTATAGATTTGGTCTGAATACCATCACGTTATGTAAAAAACTATTTTCAGACAAAAAATATAAAAGAATTTAATAAAATAAGGTGATTTTATCATATAATATAAAATGAAATGTAATTATTTGATAATTGTTTAACAGTAAAATTAGGGCGTTGAATGGTTAAGGGAAACCCAAGATACAAAATTGTTCAGAGGGTTTTGGAACCATTAAGAGGCCGACTTTTTTTCCTGTCAAAGAAGATTCACCTCTTAGCGATTCAAAGGCTGACTCTTAATGAAACTATTAAAAGGTAAACAAAAAACCCTAAAACCACAGTTTACGAATAACCCATGGACGAAATTTAGTGATGTACTTCATAATTTTATTTTAAATACAAGTTTATCAATTCCGTCGTTGGCTGATCAATCTTTTTGCGATTTCGCAGTACTTTGATATTACATTATTATTCTATGTAAGAGTCATTCATTATGTACAACCATACAACAGAACGTGTCATTGTCGATTCGAGGGCATTGACATATACAAGTAAAAACATCAATTTTATAACGACCAAACCCAGCGGCATAAGTGTCTTCTTAATGTGCCACATAATACCCGTATGGGTAAGAAGGTACGAATATAACAGATGACAATCGAAGATCTAGAGCCATAGATATCAACCACAAACTTGGGTATATACGCGACTTTGCATCCTCTTTTTTCTATGAAATCTGTAAACAAGAGAAAGAAAAATCAGTAATCTATTAAAGACTTCAGCAAAAAAATACAAGTTGAAATAACGAAAGTATAAACTCATTACATGGGTGATCGGTTTGGAGCTTTAATTGGAGCCATTTGTAGCCATAAGAGTGAAATTGTACATGAAATTACATGTGAAACACGAGGGGTACAATGATCGATATTTATAAAGTCAGACTACGATTTTGGGCTAAAAAAATATTGTTTGAACATAAAAACTCAATTATGGATACGTCAAAGTGGTTAAAGCGATTGATACAGGTTTTAACATGAAAATCATGATTTCAATAAGACCGTAAACCTAAATTATTAAGTGTCGTACTATTATTATAAAAGTCAAACTTTGAGCAATTATATAAATAATTGATTGTGACAAAAGATGAACGGGTCTTAATAAGACAATTCTAATAAAATATTTAAGTGAAACACTGTGGATGATGCAACATATCTGATTAGCTTAAATGTACAGTTCTCACTTGAAGTTTATATTTTCGCCATGATATCTTGCATTTCATTGGTCGAATTTCCATTTCGATCATTATTAAGTAAATAAATCAAAATTATCAGATTTTAATTACATATTTTAATACAAGTATTTATCTTGAATATTTTTTCAATAATCGTATCTTAAAAATTGGTGGGATACTCGCATAATGCAGCAAGATACATCTCGATTTTAATGTTTTTTTTTTTTTTTTTGTCTTGATCAATGTTATAATTCGGTTTTATGTGATTTTGAATAAAATGATAATGTTTTTATTTTTGAATAAAATATAAATATGAAAATATATCATAAAAATTTGAAAAAAAAGTATGGTTATTTGTACCAAACTGACTATTTGAAAATTTTCTTTTTTCGTGTGTTTCTATAATTCATTTTTTTAATAATATAATTTTTTATAAATATAATAATTAAATATTTTGTTAGAACTCAATGAGTATCCTAATTATATTTTAGAATTCTTATATTTAAAATGATATATTCATCCTTTATTTGATTATGTTGATCTGCAATTAGTTACACGAATTAAAACAAGAAACTTTAATAAGTTGTACTTACGCACAATTTACTAGTAATCTTGAACTTCAAGTAATATGCATCAATAAACAGTATTTCATTCATAAAAATGGTTTTTAAGAATTTTTGTTAAATAATTTATAATATAGTATAGATAATTTATATGATATTATATTTTTATTAGAAACGTAGATAAAAGAATAGGTGATTTCATTTTACATTATTATTAATAATATTTTGYTGATTTTACTTTTCTAATATCCCTATAAATAGCATGGTATTATCGTCCAACCTCAYATCAAACCATAATTTTGGCCAAGGAGCAAAATTATAGTGGCAGGATAATGGATTCTTCGACTCCGAAATCAAGGTATACTTTCCTATCTTCTAGATAAGTGTAATCAGGGTGATTTCGAACTTTAAGAAGTTAATTTTCATAACATGATGAGTTGATAACACGTCTTCCATTTTTGTGCTTACTTGATACTAACGTGAACGATACTTGTTTCAGACTTGAAAACAAGGTAGCCATCGTTACTGGTGGAGCTCAGGGCATTGGAGAATGTATTGTGAGGTCGTTCGTAAAGCATGGAGCAAAAGTAGTTATTCTTGATGTCAAAGATGACTTGGGGCAACTGGTTTGCCAAGACTTGGGTGTTGAGTGTGTATCTTTCGTTCACTGCGACATAACCCTTGAATCAGATGTAGAGAACGCCATCAACACCACAGTCGCTAGGCATGGGAAATTGGATATCATGGTTAACAACGCAGGGATTGTCGATGAGCCAAAGCTTAGCATTTTAGACAATGACAAGGCAGACTTCGAGCGGGTTATCAGTGTCAACCTAATTGGAGTGTTCTTGGGAACCAAACATGCAGCACGGGTGATGATCCCAAAATGCAGTGGGAGCATCATCACAACTGCAAGTATATGTTCTATCACAGGTGGGGTTGCATCTCATGCTTACACAAGCTCAAAGCATGGTGTGGTTGGACTAGCAAAGAACGTTGTTGCTGAACTAGGAAAGTATCAAATCCGTGTCAATTGCATATCGCCCTATGTTATACCAACTCCACTAGCAATTAAGTTCTTCAAGATGGATGAAAACTCGACTGTGTTCTCAAACCTTAATGGCAAGACGCTTGGACCACAAGATATTGCAAATGCAGCTGTTTTTCTAGCAAGTGATGAGTCTGAGTATATGAGTGGACATAACTTGGTCGTAGATGGTGGTTACTCCGTTCTCAATCCTGCATTTGGCTTGTTTTCATGGACAGGATAGAATCCTACATCAACACATCTTTCTTATGTTTTGTGTGCTTGCGTTTGTTTTTCTTTTCTGTTATTGTTTTCTTGGTTGAATAATATCGTATTCCCATGTCAAACCCTCATAATATATCAAATGAAAGATTGGAAGTACATCTATGAACCCGAATAAATATACATGAATCTCTAAATAAAAACCCAAAACTACAAAATTGTGGTTTAAAAATTCTGACTTAAATACAAAAACGACATCAAGCTAGATAACATTTAGGGGCTGTTTGGCAGTTGCTGAATGATTTAGTGCAGAATAGTTAAGAGGTCAGAATGGTTAAAAGGGTCAGAATGGTTAAGTGCAGAATGAAATAAGGTCGGTTGGTAATTGTTCTCTGAATGACAACAAATTACCATTTTAACCCTTAACAAATTTCAGAATTTTCCCCAACCAACTCGTTGTTGCCCAAATTTGGCTACTCAATAGTTACCATTGACTGCTTCTTCATGATAATGGAACTGCACATGAACATAAAATCATATCTGGGTGTGCTTTTCTTATCACAGTTCTTAACCCTCGATTTTATTTTTGGGTTCTATGATTTGATTTTGATTTGAATACAGAAGAGACTTTTTGTGGTTTTGATTTAGGGTTTCACTCACTTTTGGATTTGGGTTATGTTTTTCCTGGATGAGACGTTACCGATTTCGTTGATGGGATCTAAGGATTGTCGCCGTCGGGAAGGAGATGTTATGGGATCTACCGATTTCGTCGCGCCGATGCCATTGCCGACTGTTAAAGAAATGGAGGTCAAAACAGAGGCGGGCCTAGGCGYCGATGCCATTCCAGAGATGGTGAAGACGATGATGGTCAAAATAGATAGATTCTGGAGAAGGCGATGAAGAAAAGAACCCAAAAAGAATATGTACATGGGTCACATAATTTATAAGTTCTTCTTCTAGAATCTTAGAGTTTGTGTTTCCTGTATTTATTTTTTTCTAAGTGTTTGTG